CAAGATCCTGGGCGTCCACATGATCGGACCGACCGCAGGAGAGCTCATCAATGAAGCAGTTCTTGCAATGGAATATGGCGCCAGTGCAGAAGACGTTGCCCGTGTATGTCATGCACATCCGGTAAGAATTTAATGTAAATTTTATAACTAATAGTTCGCGTTTTGTACATATCTTTATATGATTAATCCTCTTGACACCAATTCATCATTTGACATTTAAAAATCAGGAGACGCGGTAGTGTCTCCGATCATGTTCAAATTTAATTTTGTGTAAAAAGTATGAAAAAATAATCCTTAATCTTTTTTAATCATATCACTTATTATACTTAACTGTTAATTCTTGCTGAAATCGACTCTGACCTGGGAAGATAAATTTAAATAGAATTATTTTATCATAAGCGTGATTTATATATTTTTTCTTTCTTTTAGACGTGCGCTGAGGCACTCAGAGAAGCTCATCTGGCAGCCTACTTCGGCAAACCCATCAACTTTTAAGATCTTGTAGAGAATAAGCGAATTACACTTGTTAGTTCATATTGTGAATGTGTTCAGCATTAAATGTGCCTGTCTGCAAATTTTACTGACAATGAGATGACTCGTTTCACAGACAGACATGTTTAAGCTCAACCAGATGTATGATTCACATGGCTCTTTCGACTTTACATCGTAGCCTGGATCTAGTCTACGTATCAACGTCGTACATCGTGCGAATCACATAGCGCGTCGTATGAGGGATTACAATTGTAAATAAAAGCTGAAAGCTATTACGCGAAGGTGTGACTTTATCTCTGTCACGTGATTATTGTATTTATTACGAATAAATGAAAAAAAGTGCGGCATTATAATCTTTCGGATTCTTCGAATCCAAAAGGAAATAAAGAAATATAAATGTAAATATAATATAGATAAGAGATAAAGAAAGTGTAACATGTTATAAAATCAAAGTGCACTGCAGAGAAAATTCCTAAACAAATTATTTTATATATATATAAAAAAAGGATCCTCATGTATTATAGAAACAGAACAAAGCATTTTAATTTTATCGAGGGTCTTTATAAATAATTAAAGTTAATTTTTTTTCAAGTCATTGTCTTATATTCCTAGAAAGAAAACAATATTCATTTTATTGCAATCGCAGATGCATTTTGCATTTTTGATTAAAAAAATATATAAAAAGTCATAATGATTCAATTATATTGTTCAATGTTGTTTTTGCTTTCTGGAGATCTGTTTGTGGTTGCTTGAAATCCCTAAAAATGTTCGTACTTAAAATATAAATATATATTCAAGTGTTGAGAAGAGAGAAAATAAAGAATTAAAAAAGTGCTAACAGATTTAAGGCCTGTCATCGACGTATAATCAGAGTGAAGAAAATTTCCAATGGTTGTAAAATAAATGTTTTGCTGAATGCGGCCATTGCTATGTGTAGGAGCAATGAGATATTAAAGACTGACTTTGGCTGTGTTCAGCATAGAAAACTGATCATTAATTTTTCGATACGATTGATTCGTATATTTTTAGATTCAACAAAGAACTAAAGGCAAGAATCAATCTTATTAAAGCATCATTGATCTTACTGATTAGTTTTTTTTTATTGAACGTGATCATTCGCTCATGGGAGTTGGCATGTTCACCACATGCCATAATCTGCTTACCTGAATTTAATGAGGGTCTTGAAGTCGAAACTTTCATCTGTTCTTCAGACAGTATTGTATTCATTGCAATATCTATCGGCACTGTTGCAGATTCATCAAGATCTGAGATAAAATGAACAAGTATTAATATATTGTATAATAAGGGTGATAACAAAAAAAAATCAAATAATAATACACTCTTGAAGAAGCTTATACTTGTATACCTTTGCTGATTGATGATCCTAAATTCAGTATGTAATTTTCTTTTTCGTAGCGGTGAATAGCCTAAGAGGGATCGCATCCACGAAGACTCTTTGTAAACTGCTGCATCAAAATGGATGGAACAGATGCGTCCTACGCATATAAAATGTGTTACTTTCATTGTATGAGTCTGTAATGTATGTAAGCAAGGATGTATGACTTATACATACCATTTTTTTAACATTTCTTTTCCACACGCTTCTTTTCACTGTAGTATTAACGGTTTCTCTTTTAGGCTGCGTTCGGAAATATCACCCAGGTTTTACTCACGCAGTCTTAATTGGAAAGCGATAAAAGTATATTTTTTAATTCTTTTTTCCGGTGATACTATTTTTTACGCACTTACTTTTGACAAATACTCATTTTGGTCTTTCAAGCTGTCAGTTCAAAATTACAACGGTGTAAATGTTTAAATTTGCCGCATTTGCCTAGTCCGTTTCTTTCTTCTCCGATCCCGTCCCGTCTATCGAAACTGCACGCATGGTGGAAATATTTTCCACCATGACTGCACGTATACCATCCCAATATAGGTCTGTTCTTTTTGACTGAACTTGTAGTACATACATACACCAATTCATCTTTTTCCTTTTCTCTCCTCCAGGAGGAGAGAAAAAAGATAAACTGGTGCAAAAGTTCAGCCAAAAAGAACAGACCTATGGTTACCCCTTCCACCATGATTGAGACGATTCAGCTTGAATCAATCCATGGTGAATGAATGAATCCACCACAATCCACCATTGTCCACCATGAACCACCATACTCGAATTATCGGCATCTCGTTTAATCACATTCGTCCCGTTGTGAAATAAGTAAATCTTAGTTTCTTATAGTTGCGGCAGATTAATTTCACCACAATAAACACGATAAACACCAAAGAGCTCGAGAGTGCATCGAACGCGGAATTTTTATCACTCGTCGGGGTGAGTTAGGTAAAAGTTAATTTCCCAAAAAGTTACAACAACGCGGTGACAGGATCGCGAGAAGGTTAGATTAAAATTTCACTCTGGAAAGAATATGAGGTATGTATCTGTATTTTCTGTTTAACGGATGTTGAATATGTTTGCCCTCGTAGTGACGCTCACGAACCTTCCATTGCGTAGATAACCTCAACATGAGCTACAACAAGAAGGTGGCGTATTTCTACAACCCAGAGGTGGGTAACTTCCATTATGGACCGGGTCATCCTATGAAGCCGCACCGGTTGTCCGTGATTCACAGCCTCGTGCTTAATTATGGCCTCCACAGGAAGATGCAAATATATCGACCATACCGTGCCAGTACCCATGACATGTGCCGCTTTCATTCGGAGGATTACGTGGAGTTCTTGCAGCGGGTCACGCCGCAGAATCTACAAGGCTATACCAAGTACCTGAGTCACTTCAACGTGGGAGATGACTGTCCGGTGTTCGACGGCCTCTTTGATTTTTGCTCTATGTATACTGGTGCTTCATTAGACGGTGCTACCAAGTTGAATAATAATTGCTGCGACATTGCCGTCAACTGGAGTGGTGGTCTACATCATGCCAAGAAATTCGAAGCGTCTGGCTTCTGTTACATTAACGATATCGTGATTGCTATATTGGAATTGCTTAAATATCGCGCCCGAGTGCTGTACATTGACATTGATGTACATCACGGAGACGGCGTGCAGGAAGCCTTCTATTTAACTGATCGTGTTATGACCGTATCGTTTCACAAGTACGGCAATTATTTCTTCCCTGGCACTGGCGACATGTATGAGATTGGTGCTGAGAGTGGCCGTTATTATTCTGTAAATGTGCCATTGAAGGAAGGAATTGACGATGCGTCGTATATTCAGGTTTTCAAGCCCGTTATATCCCACGTGATGGAGTTCTTCCAACCAACGGCGATAGTGCTTCAGTGTGGTGCCGATTCCCTTGCAAATGACCGACTCGGATGCTTCAGTCTCAGCACAAAAGGGCATGGCGAGTGCGTTAAGTTTGTGAGGGACTTGAATGTACCGTTACTGACTGTCGGTGGTGGTGGTTACACATTACGAAATGTTGCTAGATGCTGGACGTATGAAACGTCTCTGCTTGTAGATGAGCAAATCAGTAATGAGCTCCCATATACAGAGTACTTGGAGTATTTTGCGCCAGATTTCACCCTACATCCCGAGGTCGTAACCAGACAGGATAACGCTAATAGTAAGCAGTATCTTGAAGCAATCACAAGACACGTGTGTGACAATCTCAAAATGATTCAGCATTCGCCGAGCGTACAGATGCAGGACGTTCCGTGCGATGCGTTACCACCCGAAGAGGAAAGGCAACCAGAACCGGATCCAGACTCTCGACAGAATCCACAAGACACAGACAAGATTGTCGAACCAGCGAATGAGTATTATGCCGGTGACAAAGATCAGGATAAGATGGATACGAACGATTCGTGATAAAGACAGTATTATAGTGTTTACGATGATGTGAACAAGATTACACTTGATCCTTTTTATGAAGTTCAATAGATTCAATAGAATCCAACAAATCCATTGTATAGTTCGAAATTGATCAATTTCATGATTCTGCAAAGAAACTGCCGAGATTAAATCTTTTCTACGACTGATTCCAGGACAATAGTAAGATATTATCGTGCAATTATTCAATTTTAACTTTTGAGACTATTGATGTATATGAAACATGACGAACGAACGTTGTTTAATGCAATGTAAGGATGCGCGATACGTGTATATCGATGCGTTAAAAATCATTTGAAAATCGTTCTTTTGGTGACAAAGGAATACATTTTTTTACAAAAAAAATCGATTAAAAATAATCTTAAAGACGATTTTCAACCACTATTTTGCAAAAAAATTATTTCTTGACGCATTGATACGCGTTATCGACAAATGTATCGCATACTCCTAATGTAATGTGTACTTTTAAATACGACGCAAAAGTGTAAATATGAAAACTGTACAGAGACTGATTTGTTTATACTAATGACGAAACACACATATTTTACTCTCAAATAAATCTTGCAAAAATTTGGAACAAACTTATAAAATACACTTATATTTTAGGTAATCAAGCCATTTATCTAATATTCAGAGAAGGAACAATTTCTTCATTGCAAAAAACGATACGGTTACTCAGGATACCTGGATCTTAAATATCCATTAGGCAAGTTTATTGTTTTACATCAGACAGCAATATTCGTATTGTCTACAATGGTACAACAACGACGATAAGGACGATATCAATAGCGATAATAGTGTAATAATAGTAATAGCAATAACGATAACGTCTGTATCTCTGTCTCGGGGCTATCTTGCTATATCACAGAGAACTTAATCTTCGCACGACATAATTGTTCCTTCTAGAGCTTTCTTTTTTTTTTTTTTCTTAACAAGAGTAGAAACGTAAAACGATTTACTCATGAGTATGGAGTAGGAGAGGAGGGGACGGACCTCTCTGCTTGGTAAGAGCACTAAATGCGACTAATTGCAATAAATTAGATCTCTTAAATTAAGGCGCTTTGTTCTGTACATTCGTATTTTGTAAACTCTACAAAAAGTCTCTCGAAAAATAATACACGTACAAAAATAGTCGGTACGAGAGGAACGCAAATACTCGATTTCCGATTTATTCTTTGCAAGAACGGTGCAAAAGACTACAATGCATGTGTACTCTTCGTGAACGCATAACGCCGAGCTTTATCTTTGAGGAACACCATGCGCAGTTTTATTCGCGACTACTTTCGTCTGCAGAAGACTACTCGCGAAGCTTATAATTTCTTGGCTCCTCTTATTTGACATACGTAAGATTCTTCCCAAATTCGCTTGTACTTTACAAAGCGCATCCGCCTTGTGTACGTGTGGTATATGTATGTTTTCAGTCTCATAGTAACGGCAATTCCATTTGGTGTTTGGTCTTCCATCGAATTCTTTGCATATATACTCCAATGGCCTGTACATTCTTCGAGTCGAAACTATATACAACACATAGAGAGGAATATAATTACGTAGGCAGTGCTGATTCAGCGATCCTTGACAAATTTTGAGAATCTTTCTTGCAGCATAGCTTCCTTCTTCATTATAAAAATTTGCTTGACTAGATACTATTGTTCTCTCTCATGCCGCCTGTGCAATGATAATAGAAGTAATGCACTGAAAGTGATCAGTTACGTTTCGAAGTGCTTGTAAATGCTAGTCACGTATGTCATGACTTGCTGCCAATCAGGTCGCTCGAGTTGACACATTTCACCGATGTTCTGTGGAAAGAATAATTTATATTACTTTCAGAAGAGAATGTATACTTGTAACAAAGCTAGATGTACTAGAACCTTATTCAGTCAAAGCGGATCTTTTGGTTCTTAATAATATTTCTATGCAAAATCTTTAAATACATTTTTCAGTTGTATAAATTGTGCGCTGATTTGATGGTTTTGAATTTGTATTTAAAAATTTACATAGAAAAAAAATATTAAAATCTTTGCAAAAGGCTTTGATCAAATAAAAAGATTTTTTTTCTTATTTATATATTATTCATTTTTATCAATCTATATTTTCACTTATTAATTAAATGTATAACTGTACGATTGAAACATGATCTTATAAATTATTTAAATGCATTATCGTATTATATGTATAATTTATGCGTTTAAGAATAATTTAAGTATCAGTTAACTTACCAAAGTAGTTGGTATGCCAACACTTTCGGCAGCAGAGAAGGCGATCGAGAAATTCCGCCGCTTTTCGACTGGCGTCAACGTATCGTACGGTACCTTTCGCGGCAGATAGGAATGCAGAATCGCGCATAGCGCTAGGCCATCATTCCAGGAACTGCTAAAGTTAGTTATATCAATATTCCGATAACCTATCGTTTTATTTTGACACCACTTGAGCAAGGCGTTGCGCTTGGATCCACCATTCTTGACTAAACCACACAAGGGATCTTTACGCTCCGATAGATCGGTGACGCTATTTCGACGTACGAAGTCAATCGCCTTGGCATTCAAAGCAGCTGAATCCAGCAGCTCACCTGGACTCAAAACCACAGGCGTTGATTTTGTCTCTGCGCGTCAACAATCAAAGCATATGATTAGGTATCAAGAATCTCCCATTCTAAAATGCATGATTATCTTTATATGATTATCTCTTATGGTACAAAAACCTTCTTCAGTTTGTGGGATTTTAACCGATAATTACCTGACACTGGTTTTTTTGTGATAGTAGATTGCGTTTTGTTGTTGTTTGTCGAATTCGCCGTGCAGATTAAATTGTTGATCTGCTGTTGGTCCCTGAGAGGAGCTTTTAAAGACATGATATCTGTAGTTCCAATAGAATTTAGAGACGATGTAGAACTGCTACGACTTCCAGGTCCTAAATCGTAAAATCAATTATTTCCGAAATATATTAAATTAAATAATATATTTTATCAGTTATATATATATATATATATATATTTTACATCATAATTTCAAGGAAAGTGTTGTGGTCACTGTATATTGACAATCGTTTATCTCTAAAATTGTGCGATTATATTTACCGGCTTTAGCTTGTTTCGTGGCATTTTCGATGCTCTCGATCAGGCACTTTACGGAAAGCCTCGAGTCTTGACGCGAAATATTCGCTTTCCTACGAGCAGCGATCTCTTGTTGCACACTCGTCAGCACGGATTGTTGAGTCTCCGTCGGCGTGCTGACTGGCCTTGTAGGTGGTTGTATTACTTTTTGGTTAGCTGAAAGAATTTCCAAGTATTCATTACAGCATTCAGCGAATCGCCGTACACAAATAATTCTTCGAACAAGTGATAAAAAAGCAATAAGCTATAAATGTTTGTACATAAAATAAAGCACAGGTAATCGGTGAGTAGTATATACTTGGACGATTTCGAAAGTCTTCTTATAATTTACAATGGAAGATAGCACGCTCGTACGGATTAATTCAGTGAAAGGACAATACAATTTCATGATAAAAACTTAAATAAGCGTGTAAAGATATCGAGAATTCGAGAAACACAAAGAAAGCTGATTTAACAGTTAACCAAGGGATAACATGAGCGGCACAATGTAGGTGCTAGCAATGTGAAGATACGCCAATCTTGTATTCTTAGCTTGGACTGAGAAATCAGGACGGACAATAGATCGAATTTTTGCGATACAAACGAGTTTCCCACATTAAGAGAGCGACTTACGGTCGTAAGATTCGCTCATTTGCTGTCCCGACAGCGTCATCAATTCCACGTCCTCTACGATCGTCTCAAATTTTTCTCTTAAGGATGACGTCCGTCCCATCGGTGAGGATTGATTCGGCTCCAAATGCGCATTATTTTGCGACACCTTAGGTTTTTCGCTCGTCGTGCGGAGCTTACTTTTGGAAAAAGTCGTTTTCTCGATCTGAAAATCGTTCTCGTTTGCCAGTATGCTACTTTGCAAGAATTTTATACGAGTTAATCGATTTGTCTCGCTTAGATTTGAATATGTTGATTCTTGCAACTGTTCAATGCATGTCAAAGATCTAGCTTGTTTTTTCTGGTTAATAGAATATTTTGAGATCAATTCCGAAATCTCTGGTTCTTTCTCTGAAAGATTACTCAAAATGTCTTTTGACGTGCCCGATGAAATAACTGGAATCGATGAATAATATCTAGATTTATATTCGATTTCTGAGGGCGTTAATAATGGATATGATTTCCATCTCATCAGAGGAGCGTTTAATATATCATGAGAACTCTTTATTTTCTCCCGTTTATTATTTCCATTCTTTGTTAATCTCGACAATTTTATTTCGATATTTTTATCAGATGAGTTTGGTATTTTTGAATCTTCAATCGTGTCAAAAACTTTTTTATCTTCTGGTGTAGCATCAAGAGACAGAGATTTTGTCATAGTTTGGTCATTATTATTGTATGATGTTTTTCCTTTTGTTATTTCATTTTTTACATACTCTTTAAATAAAAAAGATTCATGATTCTCGTATTCTTTCATTTCTAGTAGTTTTTTATCGTTTTCGTGTATTCTATGACGATTGTCAAGTTCATCTAATGATTCAGCATGATTTCTAATTTGTGAATCTGCGAGCATTTTTGATTTCGAAGTCGTTTCAGTCAAGATAGAGTCAATTTCACAACTCGGTTTTAAGTCAGGTCTTTTAAAAAATAGTTTTTTCCTTTGTTCAACCTTGTCGCTTTCTTTTGATATTACACACACGGAATCTGAAAGTGATTTTATATTCCTAAGGTCTGAATCTAGTAGTTTCGTCGAGTTGCTCCCAGCAGTCAAATTTTCCGCTGTTGCTATTGTATTATCTAGAGATGACGGATTTATTTCGATATTGACTGGAGAAGGCAAACTGCTGACTTGCGGATTGCTGTAACTTCTCTGCAACAACCTTCCCATTTCTGGATCGACTTCAAACTTAAGGTCGTTCATCGCGCTCTCCACACCAGAAAATATATAATCTTTTGGTACGAAGAATCGACTATTGGAAATGTTAATGCCGTATAAGCCTCCGTTAGCGTTTTGAATACTACGAATGCTTTTCAATAAGGAACTCTTGGCCACCGCGTTTTTATCGGATGTATCAGTAACGGTAATGTACAGTTTCGGATAATCTTTCGTGATTATTGGAGATTTATCGAATGAATTATGAGCCTTATCCGATTCAAAGTCGTTCAAATAGAACTTTGACGATTCGTTCTTCGAGACTTTTAATTGTCTCGAATTTTCATTCGTTAAATATTTGATTGCTCCATCTGTAGTACATTCGTCGGTATGTTTACTGTCGATGCGATTCGTAGGATCGAATTCAATCTTCTCTCTGAAAATTAATTTGTCTTCCACTTTAACAGTTTCCTCGAGTGCTGACGTACCCGCTGTTATAGCCAGGTTATTATTCGATAAATTGAGTCCGTTTTGATTCGCAGTATTGATGTCTTCAAGCCTCGTTTTATGCGAGTCCCAATCGCTCATCGTTGCTTTGAATAAGCTATTTCGTAATGCGTGCTTTCTCGTATCGTATCGCTTCTTTAGAATCATCCGACCACGCTTTAGCAAAACACTCGCTATTTTCTCTTTACTTCCGTTAGTGACATCATCGAGTGTTTTGCAACTCGCTACAGTGCTATCTAGTACGCAGTCCGATTAAGGAAAAAGGGAACAATTATAAAATTAATAAAATTCACACAATAGCTATGTATATAATAAAATAAAAAAAATTAAAAAAAAACAGGAAAAGAAAATTAATATTTGTTTTAAAATAATACCGTTGCATTAAAGACTATCCTTTTTTCCGACGATTTACTACAATCCTCTTGTATGTTTTCTTTCTTCATAGAGAGTTATGTGTTAGTATATCATTTTATATAATACATTTTTATATACATATATTGTATTAGCATTAAGTCTTCATGATCCTGTACGTTCGTCACGTATCACAATATACTATCACATAACAGCTTCTGTTTCTTTTAAGAGAAATCCACAATTTCCGCTTGTTTACCTTTATTAAGTTTATCAAGTTGTGCTTCCAGCGCTCTCAGCTTATCTCTCTGTGCCTTGTTCTCCATGACCACGCGTTCCAACTCGCTCTGAGCTTCGGTCTTGAAGTCGTTGGCAACTCGCACAGTCATCAGCAAATCTGTCTGGAACTGTTCCCACTCCGCGCTTTCCTCCTGTCTCAGTTTACGTTCGTCAGCCAACGCGCGCTCCGACTCATACTGGTGCGTTTGCGCTTCGCGTTCTCTGCGTTGTGCTTCGCTCAGCGCGGCTTTCAGCTCTCGTTTATCCTCCAGGTGCCGTTGGCACTGCGTCTGCAATTCTGCCAGGGAGTCTCGGACAAGTTGCAGTTCCGTGCTCACAGATAACCGTTCATCCTTCAACTGATTCAGCCTGTACTCCAAGTCGTCTATGGCGGATTTCGCGTTATTGCGAGCCACCTAAAATTTTATATGCATAAAAACTATCTTCTTTATTTATTACAAATGAAAAAATGTAGTTCTATATTTCTCACAGTTTTAAAGAAAACCAGCCGCTTTTTCGATCAAAATTTCTTGAAAAGTTGAAAATTTATATATATTCTACATATATAAAAAATAAAAAAAAAAAAACAAACGTACTTTATATTCTTCCTGAAGCTGCGAATACTGATCTTTCAGTCGATCGTGGTCGCAATGTGAACGTGCCAACTGTTCCTGCAATGCTGCTGCTTGCGTTTCGAGCGTATCTTTCTCCCTTCTGGCCGCGTCTAACAGTTCATCCGCTTCACTCTTATTTTCCAGCTGCCTCGATTGCTCCAACTCTTCGATCTTTGCGCGTGCGTTCTCCAACAAAGTCGCTAATCTACTAATTTCTATACTTCGATTCGCCCCCTCCTGCCTAGCTTCTGCCAATTCCATGTCCAATTGCTTTCGTTCGATATTCGCCGCGTCCACCGATGCCTCTAGTAACTCGACGCATTTCGTCAGACGCTCAGTCTCTACCGCACTAGCGTCAGCAGTTGCTCTCAAATTCTTCAGTTCACTGGTCAACTCTTCCTGCTTCTGAAGTAAAGTCTCTCGTTCCTCTTGCGCACTCTGTAATCACAATGAGTAATCAATAATCAATTGCCATTTCACGTTTACGCGTATAAATTTAGTACTCTCACTTTCAGGAGGTCTACAAGCTTCTGTTCCCTTTCTGTATTATAACCCTTAGATGCTTCCTGTGGTTGTTCTTCTCTTAAAAGTAACCCCTGTAAGGTGTCAACCTTGGAACGAGAGTCTTCTAGCTTCTCTGTCTGACGGCACAATGACTCCAAAAGAACTCCTTTCTCCTCGGTTAGCCTTTCATTATCTGCTTGTAATTCTGTCAGTTGTGCCTGCGTAATCAATACTAATTCGTTAAAGAATTCTTCTCATCTCCATGCAGTGTCTTTTTCATTTATTATTGGATAAAATTGTACCTGCAAGTCGCTTAATTCCTGAATAGTCGCCTGCAATTCCTCGTTTGTGGAATAATGCGTTTCCTCCATTTGCAGGATCCTATCCTGCAAGCATGCAACCGAAATCTCAGACATCGAGCTGGAGGAGTGCTTGTCCCAGTCCGGTGTGGTGCACTGAGCTCCTTCCTGAGGTGTACTGGTATTGTGTGCAGATCCATCATCCTGAGGAATGGCGATGGAAGCTGGTGCAGAGTTATGAAGTCTTGAAGCATCTAGCAACAGTTGCTGTTTCTCCGAATCTGACAGTGGAGAGTGTGCCACGTCCCTGAGACGAGCACGAACAGCGTTGTTCTCTTCAGTAAGACGTTCTAGCTCCAGACTATGCTGCTCCTGTTTATCAAAGTGACAAATACATTGTGCAAACCATTGTTCGACAACTCATATAAAAATGATAGAACAAAACGGTTTAAGATACGAATATAATATCTCAAGAAAAATCAGATTTCAATGTATCTGTATATCAAAACAGCATCTCTGTATATATACTATACTAATTATTTAATTACAAATATTTGTAAATCAACGTTAAACAATTATATTATAGTCTTTTTTGCAAACAGGGACTAGAATAGTCTCTCATGCGACACTCCGAGAAGAAGAGGATCATAAAAAGCGTGATGGAATTAGATAAAAAAAAGTGTTGAAAAACAATCGTGAAAGCGGCGACGATGACGTTCATAACATTCACGACCTTGCTTCTGTTTGGGAAAAATAAAAGGAACGACGACGCTGCGAAGAACGCGACGCCTCGTAAATATCAAGCGTCGAAGGGGCCAGAGGGGGAAGAGATATGGAGCCAATCCGGATTCGAGGTTAGAGTCAAACGACGTGCGAGCATTCGACGAGGACGATACACGCCGGTACAGTTCACACGCAAAGCTCGCGATTCACACGCAACGGCTCACAGCTCTACTCCGAGACGGGCCAGGGGTTTACCGTAGGCGACGAGAAGCAACGCTTTTTCATATCGAATCCACTCGGCCTCCCCGGCTCTCTTTCTGCGTAAACATCCCCGCTGCGTTCTACGCCCTCTGGCTCCGTTTTCGAGCACGCAAAAACGACTCTTTATGCCCCCTCGCCACTTCTCGTCACTCTATCGCTGTCTAACGGTTACGTCGGTTACACTACACGAGTCTGGGACTGAAACCGGTATAATTTATTTAACGCCGAGTTCAGATTCCTGACGTTGTGGCCGCTCGCGATGATCGGAACGTAAGAATTGATTGAATTGCGAATTTTTCATTTCTCCGCAGCGTCAAAAATGCAACCGGGTTGCAGTCATTGTGTTAACGGAAAGGACTCTACCGACATCGTTTCTAGCAACGATCATTGGAGAGGGGAAATGAAACAAGGGGATGCCTCCTACGCGTGAAACAGTTTTGTAGTCTTTGCAAGGATACAATAGCTACAGATTTTTACACATTCACGCGGTTAGAATGAAACAAACATCAAAAGGAGGGTTAGTTGGCAAAAAAATGTTAAGATTTGCAGATAAAAAAACCTAAAGGAATATATACATAATATATGTATAATGGAATCATTAATTTTATTTTCACGCAGTGTTAACAGTTTATCGTAGAATATTGAAGTAAGAAATTCTATGAGAAACATTTTGGAGTCGATATTTTGTTTAAAAAAAATTTTGTGTGTGTGTGTGATTAAAAATAAACAAAATTTTTATGCATAAGACAAAGAGCACGATTTTCTCAACAAAAAAATTATAGTTTGAAATTTAAAGTAAGTAAATATCAGACGTGTGTTAAAAAACAATTCGAATAAATTTCAGAGAAACTGTCGACTCTCTCTGAAGATGTAAAAATCAATTGCATCAAGTACGTAAATTATTGGAACATTCTTAGCATGCTAACGATTTGACCAAGAAGAGAAGTGCTGTACTCTCTAAAACTTGTAACGTAAATCTTATTTTGCAGAAAAATGAAAGCTTCATTCTTAAAGATTGAAAAATTGAGCCATTCTTTTTTTTCAAGATTCGTTCAATTTTTACTCTTTAAAGTGATGTCCCACACTCCACATTTAGAGATTAACAACGTAGCTTTTATTAATCTTAAATAGAAAATTAATTGGAAAATTAAAATAATAATTTAAATAAATTTTGGAGAACAATCGACTCAGAATTGATCGCAAGACATAATAAAAATAAAAATCAATTACATTAGGAACATCCTGTAGCATCAAAATAGCGAGATATCTTTTACTGGATCGATCTATTTAACCGTAATTTAGATGCAAAGCGGATATTTTTATAGTCGACTGGTCGTCCTCGACCGTGCCTCACGTTGTCTTCCTTGTACGGTTGCGAAAACACGCGAGAAGGAGGGATGCACGTGTGCAAGGGACACGCCAGGTACGACACAAAGGGGGAAGGGAAGAAATTAATGCGGGACGTCAACTACAGATGAATCAGAGCGGCGCTACAACGCGGTATAATTCATCATTCATCGAGCGCATTTTGCGACGCACTCGCTAAATGCGCTTTGCATTCCACACGTTATTATTTCTCAACCGACAGAAATGGAGTATCGACGATATGTATATCGCGTTTCAACTGCTCGAAGAGAATCTCTTCCTCTAGCAACTACAATAAATAATGAACTAATAAACTGAATTTTAAAAGGACAATTATATCGAATTGGTTTAATTCTGGCAAATTTGGAAAAAACAATTAACTTTTACATCTGTGTGAATTAATCTATGTACCTGTTCTATTATAATTCGGAATTCACAGAAAAATGCAGTGACGGCAATTATAATTTTAACTATACCAATTTTATATGTAGGGAGATTTAAGATACATAGTTAAATAAACACACAATACAGTTGCGATAGCTTATTGAAACTATATGAAATAGTTTATTCAATCAGGTACAAAAATTTTATTGACTTATCAAAATAAAATAATATTCAAACTGGTTACTAGAATGTCAAATATATTTTGCAGCATTGCTCTCATCATACTTGAGATTCTTATGTAATAATATTTTGATGTGTTTTGTAATGGTTTTACAAAACTATTTTTGTAAAAATTATTTTCAGATCTGTATCTAGCTAATTATTAGATACTTCAGCAAAATTGTTCTTTCCACGTATTAATTTTACATATAAAACTTGTATAATTGTCATCTTTATATACAATATTATTGCACTATGTCGTTTTCTCCATCTGTGAGTGAAGATGCAGATGAATTTTAATACAGAAAGATATTAGAGATACTTGAAATTGTTTTATTTAAAGATGGTCAAAGCGCTTTATATATAGATATATGGATACTAATTATATAAAATAAAAGATTCCATCTCTTGCATATCAAAGTAAACGTATCCAAAATAGCGTGCTTCAGTCGCGGGCAGTGCGAAATGAGGGGAAGGACAAACGACATTATTACAGAATAATACTGGATCATGTGGAGAATGTCCGTGGAAACACGTTTTTATTTATAATATGACTTTTCGCGTCTGTGATAAGGAAAGAAGTTATTTAAATCCTTCTGTCTCTACGGGACGATTTTAAATTGCCGTTGACCTACTTTAATTTGGAATCTTGAAGATGAGAGAATACGAGAACAAAATAAAATTATTCGCATTTAGATATTCCGAATTACGTTGCATACCTAAGAAAAATAATGCTTAAAAAGAAACAATCACTTTTAATTTTAATAAAATATGATACAACATTGAAAAACATCGAAAGGAATAATTAAAAAATAATTAAGAGACTATTAGAAGATAACGTAAAATATATATCAAAAATATATTTCGTAAAGTCTAAAATATAGAAATCACGCGATGATTTTTCCGAATAATTTGTTTGTAGAATTAAATCGATCCACATAATGTAATTTTTCCTTATAAAATTCAAAGCTCGCTAATTCAGTTTATAACAATTTACTCGAAAAAATATCTTTTCATGAGCGAGATACTATGCGTATTCCTTACAGAAAAATGACTTCTCTAAAAATAAAACATTATTCTTTTCAAATAAATCGACGTTGTTTAGATATTTTGGTATTAAAAAAAAATACAACTACGATGTTATATAAATAAATGCAAATTTGAATATATACCTAAAGTAAAGTTTCTCTAAAGAAATCACAAATTAGCAGAAACATCACACACAGATACGATTTTTATGAATGATCGTCATGCAAATTGCAGACATCACACGGAAAACGGTTCAAGTATTTAAAAATTTAGTTAGATACAGATTTGAAAATAATGTTTTCTTGACTATTAAAATAATTATATAGGAAGTTCAAACTGGTTGCTGGATTGTCAAAACTTTTTGCATCGTTGCTCATCATGCTTAACTCGAGTGGTTTTCAAAATTTTGGAAAAACACGAAATTTTTCCTTCAACTTTAACATCCTTAAATCTTTGAAAGTAAACCGTTTTTTTCGCGACTTGAATTTGTACGAGGAATCATCCCTTAAAATTTAAAGTATTTACAATTAATATGCGTCACTTAGTATAGAGCGGCAACATAGACTGCTTGAAAATGCTATGAATTTTATGTAAAGGTTTGTGCTAAACAGTCGCTCGTATAAATAATTAGAAATTATTTGTCGATGTTTCGGATGCTTACCTTGAGAGTAGCTAGCTCGACACGCAGTTCACGCAGCTTCTGACCATCAGAAACCGCGTCACGCAGATTCGCCTCGAGACGCGTGCGATCCTTACGCAGGGCCTCGACCTCGCGCTCCAACTCCTGCATCCTGGAGACCTTGACAGGGCCCTTTGACGCTGTCGTTGCTTTGGGCCTGGCCGGCTCCTTGCTGAGGGAGCCGGCCCAGCTGTTTCCGGTCGGCGAAACGTCGCTCTTTGCCTCCAATGAGGAGGCGCTCGGCGCCTGCCGCAGCGACGCCGATTGCTGCTGTTGCTGCGCCGATTGCTGCTGACTGGGCTGTCCTCTGCGAAATAGCGATTTGAACTTCATCATGGTCACTCGACTGATCACCGCGTAATTCAAACAATCCTGTTTCTCGTAACACGAGAAAAACACTTCGGGAAGAGTTCGAGAGAGAAGAGGAAAGTGTTAAACGGATGACTTTTCTTTTATGAGCCGAGTTTTATCGACGAGGAAGAGTGCCTATGATCTGAAGTGGCTCTTGTCGTCAACGAACAATGACGTCGTTGATCGTTTTCGTTAACGAGCATTTCCAGAACGAAGAAGAAAAAACCAACGAGTCGGCACGACTGTCATACTGTTGTGTTTCTCTTCCGATTACGACGTAACGAAATGTAATTCATCTCTAGGTCACGGATACGAGTTCCTGGCGATTATCGCGAACGCGGGGGCGTTCGATAGACAATCCTGTCTCCTGATTAGATTCCCTGAAAGGACGCGCGGTGTCGGCCTGCGGTGAGACGATTGAATGGAGCTCTGGAGGCTGCATGTGCGTCATCAAGGATGTCAATTCTTTTTAAAAAATATTTCTTAAATCAATACATAACTTTTCCATGTCACATTCACGTGTAAAAAAAACAGAAGATCACTTCTGCAATGAGATTTTTTCGAAATTTAAATGCATTCTAATAGTCTACTTAGAACTCTTATTAATTTACATAGGAATCATTTAATACAAAAAATAGAAAATTTAGATGACACTTTTGCAATGAGATTTCTTTGAATTCAGAATGCACTCCGATAGTTTATCTATTATTAAAACTGTTATTGTTAATCTAATATATGGGAATTATTAATTCACATATTTACGCGATAACGTAAAAAAAAAAAAAAAGATCTCTTCGAAAGCACTCGGACAGTATATATACAGTTATGAAAGCTTATAGAACTCTTATTATCGATCCACGTAGAAATCACGTACATTCAATCTATATCTATCTATAAATTCACGCGAAAAATAGCAAATCTAGATTAACACTTCCGCAATGAGGCGTATTCCAAAATACACTCCTACTTAAAAATTTTATTATCGATCCACATAGAGATCACTTAATCCATATTCACGCGATTAGTATCACTTTGAGGATAATTGCATAATCGGAGGTCATTAATAGATCACTCAGTCATTTCCGCGCAAGAGTTATTAAATGTACAGGAGCGCGTATCCATGCACAGATAGACGCGAACGATCGACTTGAACTGAGTCAATTCTCGCAGGTATTCACGTGCAGGTAGGGAAACTTATATTCTTGCTAAAGAACAGTTCCCAGGCCACTCGATCTATACGTCGATGCATCAAAGCACGTTAATCAGGTTCCCACGTCCATTGCGCGACATCGATCCCTCGATCTCGGAACGCATCCAGGTGCGTCTTCCCACCAGCGTGTTTCGTCGCACCACAAGGACCGTTGCTCCGGCAATTTCACCGAGCAGCATCTTCGCGTTTCAGGTCTTGGTACGACGGCCCCAGAAGCCGGCTCTTTCTCTCGTTATCCTTCCGTTCCAGGACGCGCTGATGGCGACGGCGACGTTACACGACACGGACAAGCGATCGCCGCATCGTGTGGCGCGCACTCTCGCCAAGGAATTCTAATATTCGTGCGTGAAGCGAATGGCCTCGAGCCACTTTCTTCCTCGATCTGCCGAAGAATCCTCGCAGCTCCTCCTCCACTTCTCCTTTGAGGATCCTCTGTCGACGACGGGAGGAACGAGGCAATTCCGGTGACCGACGAGTCGTTGCGTGGCAACCACTTGTTGCTCTTGGATTCGGCCAACGACCGCCAAGATGTTTCGCCGTGCACGCCGCGGAAGGACGCCCGAGTGTCCTTGCGGTGGCGCGGACCTTTCAAGGATCCTCAAGGACGACGCTCGCGCGAGTCGAGGACGGTCGACGAGACGCGGTTCCTTGAAAACGGTTGGAATTTAACGAAGCAAGAGGAGTCGTCGTTCACCTTTTATAAATGTATTTCTTAGATAATATTTTTGCTGCAACCGATTATACTAATATAATTTTCGGAGATCACGACGATGCTCTGAACGACGTGTTTGAGAAACGTCTTTTCGATGAGAATTCGGTTTAATCGGCTGTGGAGCACCAGAAACGACGCATACCGTGCGATGGTGCATCGAGTACTGAACATACGAGCCGACAATCACCCCCTCCCGTATAATTCTGTCCCGTCCCACTTCCTCTCCTCTCCACTCTCAGTCGACCAAGGCTTTTCTTAGGCGGCCGCCTCGCCGGACTATACGAAGGGCCAACGAGTTGTAAAGGCAGCCAGAGGTCGTACGTACTTGGACCGCCGCATTCGTCGGCCATTGAAGAATTCTTCTCGTCGCGAATTCCCTCGTGATCCGCGCGTCGCCTTTTAAAGAGCGCAGCAATTCACACGGACCACTCGCGAAATAGGCTTGTCCTGCAGATCGAGAGATTATAGACGCACGTGGGATGCGTGAAACTCAAATTTACTATAGTACCAGATAGTGTCACAAATTGAGCCACACGTGGCTATAATGTAAATCTTTCATGTCCATTTCTACCAATATAGATTAACTCTTATGGTTTATCACCTGCTTTACTCTATTTCATCTTTATTTTTTGTTTTACGCGGACTGGATAATTTTGTCAAAGTATTTAAAAATTTCACTAGACACAAATTTAAGAACAACTTTGTTGGACTGTTAAAATAATTATGTAGGACACCCAAACTGATTATTAGAATATCGAAACTTTTTTGCAACATTACTCATTACGTCTGCGTTTCCTATATAATTATTTGGATGGTCCAATAAAATTCTCTACAGATCTTATTTACCTAAAAATTTTTAGATACCTCAGAGTAATACCTCGTTTCTTTCCGTGATTAGTATTAAAAATAAGCAAAGAGTAAATTAAATCGAGATTAAAATTACTTACATTGGTAGATATGGACATGAAATGTAATACAGAACGGTTTTGCACAAGTATTTAAAATTGTAGATACAAAGCCAACATTAATTTCATTAGACCATCAAAATAATTATGTAGGATGCTCAAGTAGATTGCTAGAATGTCAAAGCTTTTTACAACATTGCTCATCATGCTTGAGTTTCCTTCATAATTATATTTTCATGGTCCATCAAAATTATGTTCAGATTTGTATCTATTTAAATTTTTACATACTTCAGTAAAGTCGTTTTTTTCCATATATAAACATATTAGTTTGCGCGTTCTTACATTTAATGATAGAGTTTCGTATAGAATATATACAGACTAAAATTTGGATAAATATTATAAATCCTTCCATAAACACTGAAAATTTTCGGCGCATCAATTATCGCGCCGAATTGTCATTGCTAATTATATCTTTAATATACATATTAAATATTTATCAATTCCTTATCTCTTTACTAGACATATTCTTTTCTCTTTAGAATATTTTAAGTCGCGCACTTTTTATGGCTTCTGGAAAATTCAACATTGTATTATTGACTTGTTAATTAATCTCAATTAATTTGAAGATTTTTTTCAAATCTTAGACTCTTACATGCTATGGCACTCAAAAACGATAATAAGGCGTAAGTGCAGCAAACGAATCGACCAATCACATCAGAGAACGCAAGGCAATAACGTAAACAAGTAGCAAGTCTGAAATGTCGATTTGATTATTGCTTACGTTTCCCTGCTTAATTTTTTTGTTGTGTCATATACCGTTAACGAGATTCGAGTGAATACATTTGCTTAATGTCAATTAGCGGATTCGTTAAACTAATCGCTAACATTGTGTGTGAGCTGTGTACGCACATATAACATGGAGAAAGGGTTGAGCCGATCGTATCAATCGTGAATTAGCAATCTCCGAGTGGTTGCTATATGGTACACGATTGATTGCCCTTTGACGCGCTTCGATCACTCGGAATAGTGTCGATTTTCGATCAAAGAAGAAGGAGAGTGGGAGAGATAATTGCCCGGGTAGGTTGGTGGAACGAGAGGGATAGCCGGCGTCGAACTCTTGGGAACGGGTACGCGCCTCGTCGCCATCGAGGATGGCACGATATCAGAGAAAGGAAGGGAAGAGAAGAGAAGGGAAGGGAAGAGAGAGAAGCGGAGGAGCTGCTTAAGGAGGCCACACGGAATCCGCAGACGTCTCACCGGTCGACCAGTTTTCTCATACGGTCGACATATGGTATGTACCCAGTGGCCGAAAGGTCTCCTTGCCTTCGCAATGCCAGACGTGAGGTAGATAAATCTTTTCTTGTCATTCTATAGCTACATTTCTCATTATTTGCAGCCATGCTTTTAAATCAAGGTTGCCACGAAACTTGAAAATTCCATAACTGTCCTCGCGGACAAAATTTTATAAATTTCCCTAATTATCAATATTTTGCTAAGCGATCAGTTTAGACGCAACCATCTCAATCAATCTGGTTTTCAAATTTAAAATGAAAATATTTAAATTTACATATGCTTTATATGCTTGTATTATGCACGTTATGTATAGTTTCGCCTCGATGAATACTCGTAACTGTATCTAGACGAGAAGAACAAAGAAATTTTTATTGGAGCTCGCTGAGGAGTAGGATGGAATGGCATGCTCGAAACGTCAAACCTAACTGTTTATCGCTCGCTAGATGGTCGAATGACAGGCAGATATTGCTATCGGTCGTGTTTAGTTATTATCGATGCGTCAGTCGTAAAAGTATTTATGATATCGTTTAAGACATGACTAATAGTGCTGGTTTTACAAAGGAGGTTTCTCAAAATTTATCAGAATAATAAAGTAAATAAGAAATCAAAATGAAACAGAACTTTAAACACGCGGCTGAAACGTGAATCTGTTTATATATACATATATCATAATTCTAACTTCTACATTGTACTAGACGTAATTAGGAGGAGAATATACAGAGAACATTAAATGGTTACAAAATTCATTGATGCCGGAATATTACATGAAAGAATTATGATAAAGTCAACACGGATGATTTTTGAGAATCTCTATCTTTTATTTTACAAATTTATTTTTTTGAAACAATTTTCAATTTTATTCTTTTTTGTCAAACTACGTCACGCTTTTAACAATTTTATTATCAAACTACTTTTTATTTTACAAAACTTTATTTCAAAGAAATTATTTTTAAGTGTTTTTTTAAAATATGAAATTGTTAAAATAAATTTTTTCAAATAAATTTGTAAAATAAAAATTAGAAGCTGGATACAGTTCG